TTTTTTTTTGGAGACAGAGTCTCGCTCTGTCGCCCAGGCTGGAGTGCGGTGGCGCGATCTCAGCTCACTGCAAGCTCCACCTCCCGGGTTCATGCCATTCTCCTGCCTTAGCCTCCCAAGTAGGTGGGACTACAGGTGCCCACCACCACGTCTGGCTAATTTTTTGTATTTTTAGTAGAGACAGGGTTTCACCGTGTTAGCCAGGATGGTCTCAGTCTCCTGACCTCGCGATCCACCCACCTCGGCCTCCCAAAGTGCTGGGATTACAGGTGTGAGCCACTTCGCCCAGCCAAAACCTTTATTATGTATATCCACACATTATGCACAAGACAAAAGTACCATAGAGGCTCTTGTCATTTAAAAGTGTGATGATTGGGGTTTCACACTTGTGCATAAGATGTGCCTCCCACAAACCTGGTTACGAGTTGGCACATTACCTGTCTGATGTGAAAAAAGAAAGTAGTACTGTACATAAAATCGTGAATCTGCTTTCTCATTTGATGAGTGTCTCAGTCTGCCCAAGTTGCTATAACAAAATACCACAGACTGGAGGGCTTTAGCAACACACGTTTTCTCACAGTTCTGGAGGCTTGAGGTCTGAGATCAGGGGGCCGGCATGGTTGGGTTCTGGTAAGGGTCCTCTCCCTGGGTTGCAGATGGCAGCCTTCTTGCTATGTGTTCATATGTGGGGCAGGAGAGTGGAGAGAAAGAGAGTGAGTGAGTTCTCTAGTGTCTCTTACTGTAAAGGTACTAGTTCTATCATGAGGGTCCCGCCCTCATGACCCCAAACCTAATGACCTCCCAAGGCCCCCATTTCTAAATACTATCACAGTGGAGAATAGGGCTTCAACGTAGGAATTTGGAGGATGGGGGAACAGCTGTAATTTAGCCCATAGCAATCAGACTTCCCTATCGACAGCTGCCTTTCAGCTTGGAGGCCCATCTGTGAGCCTAGCAAGAATGGGATTACCAGGTTCAAATTCTTGGACAGAGCCCACCTCAGCAGGGGGGTACAGGGCTGAGAACACAGTAAGGTCCACACAATCCATGAGTAGTGTGTAGGGTTTGGGGAGGGAAATCAACTCAGTATTTCTGCCTGAGGCCAGCCCCCGAGAGGTGCCAGGCCTAAGTGGCCCTCTCTTCTCTGCTTCCTCCCGCTGCAGGTCACCATGGTAGGAGTGCAGCTTTCTCCCCCAGTTACTTTCCAGCTCCGGGCTGGCTCAGGACCTGTGTTCCTCTGTGGCCAGGAACGTTATGGTAAGTCAGAACCCGGGCTCAGGAAGGTCTGAGAGTACCGTGCCAGGCAGGGGCTCGAGATATACTAGCTATTCAAACCCTGGAGGGATTCTTGAGTTTTGGGAGAAAATCCGCAAAGGCAACATCACGACCAGCAGCCTGGACTGGAAGGCAAGGGCGCTGGTCCCTGTTCTTCTTTACCCGCTATGACCTCTGTAGGCTGCAGCCCCTCGCTTGTAAACTTCAAAGAGCAGTTGTGAAGAATAAATGGGATATTCAGGAAAAGTACTCAGCGTAATACCCGGTACTAGGGAGCCACTGTTCAGGATGTGGCTGCTGCAGTGATGCAGACCACAGCAACGCGGACTGTAGCAACGCAGCATGATGCTGACTCCTTCAAGATCCCTTCAACTGGCCCTCTTTTCTGTATGATTATGCCTCATTCATAATTATGATTATGCTAAAAAGCCTTGGCAGGTCCCACTTCTCTTAGGATAAAGTTTCAGTTCATTAGCTATTTGCTTTAGATTCTTTCCCCTTCTCCCTCCTCTTCCTCCCCCACTCTGCCTACCTTTAGCCTTGACCCCAGCCCTTGCCAATATGAATCCCCCTCCTACCCAGCCAGAGCCACTTCCCCTGCCCTCTTTCTACCACCCCAGCCCTCTGGAGGGCTTTCCTAGACCCCCTACCCTACCCTGGCCTCCACTGTCAAGAGGGCCAGAAAGGGTGCCGCCCTGTACAGGTGGCAGGCAGGTAACCACTGTTAACTCCAGACTAGGATTCCTCCAGGGCAGTGCTTGGAGCAACATGGATCACAGAATGGGAGGTGGGCATCGAGATGCTGTAACTGAAGCTGTGCCCCTGCCCCCTTTCCCATGCTATCACAGAAGCATCAGACCTAACCTGGGAGGAGGAGGAGGAGGAAGAAGGGGAGGAGGAGGAAGAAGAGGAGGAAGATGATGAGGATGAGGATGCAGATGTATCTCTGGAGGAGGAAAGCCCTGTCAAACAAGTCAAAAGGCTGGTGCCCCAGAAGCAGACGAGCGTGGCTAAGGTGGGGGAAGGAGTGTGGCTGTTTGGAAGGAAGTGGTGCCCCTACAGAAGCACCTCAGAGGGATGGGCCACCGGGAGCCTGGGCCAGCCTCCCAAGCTGAGTGTGCAGGATGGGCCAAGGCCACCTTGGCTAGTTCTGGCCAGGTGCTCAGCGGGAACCTTGTGGACCTTGGGAATCTGTTCTGGCTCTGGACTTTGTCCTAACTCTCCTAATAAACTGTTTTTTGGTTCCCAGAAAAAAAAGCTGGAAAAAGAACAAGAGGAAACAAGGTAACTCTTCCTACCTGTTAAATTAGCCGAAGTCTCTTAGCTGAGATATACAGTGTTAGAATACTGTGCTGTTGGCATATACGCGTACAAATGTACACACGGTGCATATACCTGCACACACAGGCACACGGGTATGGAAGTTCTGGAGGGTGGCATCACCTTTCTGGAAAAGCATTATAACATTCTTATCTTGGGACCTAATTCCACTGAAGGCAATTCCTTCCACCGAATTCCATCTAAAATTCAGGGGAAATTATCTGCACTAAGATATTTCTCATGGCTGGGCACAGTGGCTTGTGCCTGTAATCCCGGCACTTTGGGATGCCAAGGCAGGCGGATCACTTGAGATCAGGAGCTCGAGACTAGCTTGGTCAACATGATGAAACCCTGTGTTTACTAAAAATACAAAAATTAGCCAGGCCTGGTGGCGTGCCTGTAATTCCAACTACTCAGGAGGCTGAGGCATGAGAATTGCTTGAGCCCAGGGAAAAGTTGCAGTGAGCTGAGATTGTGCCACTGCACTCCAGCCTGGATGACACAGCGAGACTCAGTCTCAAAAAAACAAAATTAAAAAAAGATGCTTATCATGGCATTATTCAAATAGTGAAAAAATGGAAGCATTCTAAATGTCTACCAATGTAACAATTGACTAAACTACATCTCTTTTCTCAATGGAATATTAATCTTATGAAAAATATAGCAACCTGGAAAGTATGTGTATGGTTTTGGTTTATTTGTTTAATGAGACAGGGTTTTGCTCTGCCACCCAAGCCAGAGTGTGATGGCACAATCATGGCTCACTGCAGCCTTAACTTCCTGGGCTCAAGTGATCCTCCCACCTCAGCTTTCCAAGTAGCTAGGACTATAGGCACGTGCCACTATGCATGGCTAACTTTTAAGTTTTGTGTAGAGACAGGGTCTTTCTTTGTTGCCCAAGCTGATCTCAAACTCCTGGCCTCACACAATCCTCCCAAACCACTGGAATTACAAGTGTGAACTCTGCACCTGACAAGAGTATTGATAGTTCATATAGCAGGATATAAAGTCATTTTTATTTTATTTCACACATTTTTTTTTAAGAGTTTGACCAGGCCGGGCATGGTGGCTCACACCTGTAATTCTAGCACTTTGGGAAGCCAAGGTGGGAGACTCACTTGAGGTCAGGAGTTCAAGACCAGCCTTGCCAACATAGCAAAACCCTGTCTCTACTGAAAATACAAAATTTACCTGGGCGTGGTGGCATGTGCCTGTAATCTCAGCTACTCAAGAGGCTGAGGCAGGAGAATTACTTAAACCTGGAATGCGAAGGATGCAGTGAGCCAAGATCACACCACTGCACTCCAGCCTGGGCAACACAGCAAGACTCCATCTCAAAAAAAAAAAAAAAAAGTTTGACCAAAAAAAAATAATAACCCTGAAAGAAAATACACCAGAATGTTTAGTGTGGGCAGTAAAGAAAACTCTAACTAATGTATTTTCTTGTCTATTTGCTATATTTTGTACAAAATGGTTAATATTTTATAATGAAAAAGACATTTGTGGGCCAGGTGTGGTGGTGCACACCTGCAGTCCCAGCTACTCAGGAGGCTGAGGCAGGAGGATCACTTGAGCCCAGGAGGCTGCAGTGAGCTGTGGTGGTGTCACTGTACTCTAGCCTGGGCAACAGAGCCAGACTCCATCTCAAAAACAAAACCAAAAAAAAGACATTTGTGATAACCAAAAGAAGATAGAAGCCTAAGGAAAACACGTGTGCATGCACACACGCACACCCCTTTGTTTAAAGAGTCCGAGTGGTCCCCAGGAGGAGCAGCCAGGCTTGCTTTCCAGGGTGGGCACTGGGAGGGCCCCGCCACGGGTCTGGAGCTGAGCTCTCTTCCTGACCCCCATCCCACTCCTGCTCCACTCCACCCTGTTGCAGAGCCAGCGTTAGAGACAAGAGCCCTGCGAAAAAGGTAAGTAGGACCGGGGGCTGTGGCCCCTGAGACAGGCGGGTATTTTCTGGGGGGGCTGCCTGGTATGGAGAAGGGAATGGGACCCTGGAGCCCTGCCTTCCCTCCGCAGGCCAAAGCCACAGCCAGACCCAAGAAGCCAGGATTCAAGAAATGAGGGGCCACGCTTTGGGGGCCACGGTGCAAAGTGGGCCTTCCCTGGACTGTGCTGCGGGCACAGGGTGCCCCTGCCCGGCCCCTCCATCTGTGTCTCAATGTGACAGGGGTATTGTAGGGGCAACATGAGAGCCCCTCACCCCCAACTCTCCGCTTTCAGGAGACCCCCAGTGAAGAGCCCCACCTCAGGGTCACAATAAAGTTGCCTAGTCAGGACTTCCCTTCTCTTCCCTGGAGCCGGCCTCCTTGTCCGCGGCGCCAGCCCAAGTGCCCGGCAGAGGGCAGCCTTGAACCAGTGCACCCGGGCCCTGAGGTCATACCCGCCTCGCTGTACCCAGCCTCCGCGGCTTGAGCCTGCTGTGTCCCTCCTCCTCGGCACCCCCAATTCTCCCCCAGTGGCAAGGGAAGAGCCTAGAGTCTGCCTTCTGCTGAGCTGAGTGTCAGGTGGATTTGCAGCCCGCACACTCCCTCTGGGCAGGGCTAGGTTTATAGGCACCCAAGGGCTACAGCTGCTCAAGCTACCAGAAAGGGCCTTGCCCTAGGGGGCCAGTCCCCACGGTCTTCTCCTGACCATACTCCTGTCAGGCAGCTACTGTGTGCAGAGCATCTATAGGGACCTCAGGGACATCCATTCTTCCTGCTTGCTTCTGTTAGGGGCCAGCTCTTACAGGCACTTCCCGCGTGTGCAGATCTGGGTTAGGCAGGAGCCAGAGGCCCGCGCCCTCAAGGAAACCTTTGAGGTGGGGTAGACGGGATGAGCTTTACAGAGGCACCAAGCCCCACATGCTATCAAGCCGGCCTCAGTCAAGCATAGGGGCGAGGTCAAGAGAGGACTGGAAAATGGGGTGGGGGACCCCCACCCTCTCCCCCGTGTGCAGAGGGGACTCTGGAGGGCTGTTCACACGTGGGTGATGCTGGCGCAGTCCCTGGAGCAGGCAAACACACAGATGGGCCCCCCACTCAGGGTTATCCATGTAGCGCCTCTGCTGGCTCCTCCCTGCCCCTCCCCAGCACCCTCGGGGGCCAGGCCTGAAGTAACCAGTGGGGAGCTGGTCCTGCTATCCTGCCTAGGATCCCCAGGTATGGGGCCCAGGAGGTCGGAGCTCTTTGAACACCTGCCTGGGAAAGTCAACAGCCAGGCTGGGGCCTCCTGTCCAGCTGTAGCTTCTCTTGAGACCAGAGACAGAGGTAGTAGAGGGCAGGGTGGTATTCATTTTTTTTTTTTTATTTCATTTTTTTAGAGACAGGGTCTAACTTTGTCACCCAGGCTGGAGGGCAGTGGCACAGTCTTAGCTCACGGCAGCCTCGACCTCCTGGGCTCAAGCAATCCTCCCACCTCAGTCTCCCAAAGAGCTTGGAACTACAGGTGCGAGCCACCACACCACAATGAATTTTAAATTTTTTTGTAGAGACAGGGGGTCTTGTTATGTTGCCCAGGCTGGTCTCCAACTCCTGGGCTCAAGAGATCCTCCCGCCTCGGCCTCCCAAAGTGCTGGGATTACAGATGTGAGCCACCGCGCCCGCCCAGGGTGGCATTCTCCCTGCATGTTTCCTACCCCCATGAGACGGATGTGGGTGCTGTCCCGCCCTCCAACAAACAAACAAGCCACTAACTTCAGGTCACCCAGAGTCCCACCCTCCAACAAGGGGACAAACCACTAACTTCAGGTCGTCCAGAGAGTGATGAGGGGGACTGCTCCATGTGGGCAGCTGGTGCTTTTCGAACTTGGTTTCATCCACAGTGACCCGGGGTAGACAAACCCAGCTCCTCACCTTCAAGTCACTTACAGTTTAGGGAAACAAAACCCAACACAGTCATTTCAGTTACTGTCCGGTGCTTTGAAGGGAGTGGAACAGGTGAATTTGGGGGGCAGGGGGAAGCAGTTTGGCGAGAAGGTCTCCTGGAGGAGGCAATGGACAAGAAGGGGCCAATGGACTTCATAAGGAGCTGGCAGAGGACGTCCCTGGGAACAGGAGCAGAGCATGCAAAAGGTCCAAGGCAGACACCTACTTGAAGGGGGATCGCTGCAGTGACAGCTGCTAATACCGACGACCCACTCCTTTAATCCTCCTAACCGTGCCTTAAGGGGATTGTGATTGGCTCCATTTCTTTTTTTTTTTTTATTTTTTTTAGAGACTGGGTCATACTCTGTCACCCAGGTTGGAGTGCAGTGGCGCAATCAGGGCTCACTGCAGCCCAGAACTCTGGGTTCCACCTATATCCTCCCGCTTTAGCCCCCTCAAGTAGCTGGGAATACAGGGACGCACCACCACACCCAGCTCATTTTTTAACATTTTTGTAGAGACGGGGGTCTCACTATATGGCCCCGGCTGGTCTCAAACTCCTGACATCAAGCTATCCTTCTACCTCGGCCGCCCAAAGTGCTGGGATTACAGGTGTGAGCCACCACACCTGGCCCAGCACCATTTCTCAGATGAGGAAAGTGTGGCACAGAGAGGTTAGACAAGTTGCCCCAAGGTGACACGGCTGGCAGAGGAGCCAGGGAGTCCAGCCCCAGAGCCCTGGATTTTGACCACTCTGCTGATGGGAGGGAGGCATGAGCCGGTGCACAGTTCATGAAGTCTTGTAAACTGAGAGCAGGAGTTAGAAGTCAGTCAACCATGTAATGGTAGTCCTCAAGGGACAGCCAGGCCTCTCTACAGCCAAGCATATATTTGGCCCCAAGCACATGAAGGCACGCAGCAGATAAACCAGTGATCACTTGATTTTGATTTGCAAGCAGGCAGTAGGAAATAAATTGCAAAGGTGGAGGCCGGGTGCTGTGGCTCACGCCTGTAATCCCAGCACTTTGGGAGGCCAAGGCGGGTGGATCACCTGAGGTCGGGAGTTCGAGACCAGCCTGACCAACATGGAGAAACCTCGTCTCTATTAAAAATACAAAATTAGCCGGGCGTGGTGGTGGGCACCTGTAATCCCAGCTACTCGGGAGGCTGAGGCAGGAGAATCACTTGAACCTGGGAAACGGAGGTTACGGTGAGCTGAGATCACACCATTGCACTCAAGCCTGGACAACAAGAATGAAACTCCGGTCTCAAAAAAAAAAAAATTGCAAAAATTCCATCCTCCTTGCTAGAGCGCCCTTTGACCTCTGCCCTTTGCCCTTCCCCTGCCCCAACGCTTCTGTTTTTCAGCAGGAAGAGGGTGGGCTGGGCTCAAGCAGGTGGTGGCAAGTGGCTGACCTGCAGGTGGGCTCTGTGTTTGCACCAGCTGGGCTGTTAGGAGAGGCAGGCGTGAGACGACCCCAGCTGGGGGGTGTTGAACTTGGCACTAGGGGGTGGGGATTAACCACAGCAGCCCAGGCTACTTCTCAGTTCCCTTATCACCTCCTGAACGCCACCCCCCCAGCAATGAATGTCAATAAACTCCACCCTTCTTTACTCCCCCTTACCCCCAGCTCACTCTAGTCAAAGGAGAAAGTCTGACAGTTTAGGTCAACTGAGGCTAAACCACAAAACGGGCCCCTGCCCCCATTCTTGTGGTACTTGTTGCATTTCTGTGAGTCCTTTATCTCAGCTGATGTGGATGGCGGTGGTTTTGACAGCATCCCTGGTAGTAGCCATTTCCTTTTTATAAACTGGGACCTGAAATCAGAGAAGTGAAGGGACTTGCCACAGGTCACACAGCATATAAGGACCAGGGCAAGGTGGGGGTGATAAAATCAAGGGCTCCATGCTGCCTCCCCACTCAGGGCCCACCACTGGCTTCCCCATGGGCATAAAGGAGCACACCAAGTTAGAAGGCCAGGCTTGCAGGTGCCCAACCGGAAGGGACAAGGAGCCACAGCTGTCTTGCCTATGACACAGGGCATCCAGCCATGCCCAGAGCTAACCCCCTGGCTAAGCCCCGAGGCCCAGCTTGTCTGCTGGCATCTGTTACCATGGAGACCCAGGCTGGCCTGAGGGCTGGCCAGTGACAGCAGGCCCTGTCCCCATGGATAGAAACCAGGTGCTTGGGCTCAGAGGCCTTGAGTGGCTCCCACTGTCCCCATGGCCAGTAAGTCCCGACAGCACAAATTGGAACCCTCACCCAACTTTTGCCCCCAGCTGACACCTCCACCCTGGAACCCAAGGCCTGAGCTGTCCCCTCCACGTGTCTGTGCTCTCTTTAATGCCCTGCCTGGGGGTTGGGAGCTGGTGAGGATGTGGATGTGAGGTTGAGGGTTTCTCAGGGAATGAGCCAGAGCTGCCCAAAGAGGCAGAGTGTAACCCAGACTGCAGATGATGGGAAGAACGCGGAACGGAAGTGACCCGAAGGATCCACAGGGGGAAAGCAGAGAGGTGGGCACGTGGGCACCTGGTGCCTTGTCCCAGCCATGCCACCAGCTAGCTGTGAGGCTTTGGGCGAGTCCCTTGCCCTCTCTGGCTCTCATCCAAGGAATGAGGAAGTTGGAACAAATGATGAATCCCTAAGACCCCTTCTAGCTTTGACGTTCTTTGAGTTTCATTCCAAATCCCCGGACTCCCCCTGGTAAGCAAGGCCAGGGCTCGCCCACCCTCCCCACACAAGCTCAGGCTGCACCCACTCCTGGGCTGGGTCCCCGAGGAAGAGCCTGTGGAGAGGAGAGCCCGGAGCTGCCTGCACTGGTCAGTGCATGGGGGCAGGGGTGGCAGACCACTTTGTGGATTGACGGAGCTCAGGAAGGTGAGAAGGAACCCACAGGTGAGAGTTTCGCCCCCCTGGTCATCTCTTTAGGTAAATAAATCCACATCCGCCACTTCCCCTTCCCTTCCCACCCTGGGCGCGCAGAGAACTCCAGGGAGCCCAGAGCTGGGGCCTGAGCTCTGCTCACTCACAGTGGGTCTTCCCTCAGAGATCCCCAAGCAGACCCCCAGGCCCTCCTATCTTCTGCAGTCACCGTCATCCACTTTTCTGTAGGGAGGGAACAGCATGGAGCTCTCTGTTCACCAGTCTCCAGGACCTCGGATTCCACCTTTAATCCTGAAAACCCAGGAAGGCTTCTGTGTCCCTACAATGAAGCAGGTTTGGGGCTGGATCTGGAGGGTGGCAACTCAAACCATGCAGAACAGAAGAAGGATGGACTTTTCCATTCTGGCTATTCCATTCACTAGCTGGGCCATTCTGAGCAAACTACCTCCCAGTGTGCCTCAGTTTTCTCATCGGCAAAATGGGCTAGTCCTTGGCATTGTACCGAGCAATGTGGGACCGGAGGTCAGGGGAAGAGGCTGGTAGGCACCATCCCAGGCAGCTGCTCAGGAACATGGGACACAGGGAGGGGACTCTGAGCTGCTCCTAGCTCAGAGAGGCTCCAGGGACAGGCACTGGGAGGAAGGGGAGGCAGAATGGTGAGTGGAGCTGGGTCTCGGAACACAGACCTCTTGAAGTCTGCTGTGTGCTGATTTCACACTAAACCCCCAACACCCTGAGGCATTCCTGTCCTCATTTCTCAGATGGAACTACAGAAGCCCAAGGAAAAGGGGCTTAGGCCAGGACACCCAGCTCTTCTCTGAGTCTCTGTCTCAGGCCAGCTTTTGCACCTCTCCATTGGGATTTTCCTAGACCTCCATCTATACCTGCCAACCCACCTCTGACCCCCAATCTGTTGCGCCCAGTATTTGCTGCTGGTCAGGACAACCTTAACCCCTCCTTCCCAGCAATCAGCTGCTCCAAGCCAAGCCCACCCCTGCCCCCTGGAGGGAGGCTCCTCCTTTTAAGGCTGCTTCTGGGAATTTCCACTCCTGAGCCAGAACCAGAGACCCCAGCCCCGCTTGACACCTGCAGCTCACCCTTGGGGAGGTGGGGCACCAGACCTGAGGGCAGGAGACTGGGGAGGTGGG